TGCTCCTTGGGTCAGAGGGCGGTGAGGTGCCCCCCTCCACTTCCCTCAGGCGAGGGGCGAGCTGGACTCGGAGGGCGACTGGAGTGGGACGCCTGCTTTGGGTTTGTCGCGGTGGCGCTCGCCTATGTCAGCGGGTCTGTAATTCAGGGCATCCCTGCGGGACGGGTCGGTGGGAGGCGGTGGCTGAGGCCCCTGAGGTGGAGGTTGGGCCCAGCTGTGGCAGGGAACATCGGGGGAAAAAACTTTGAACCGTAGCGTGAAAGCTGAAACACGGACCAGGAGCAAATTTGCTACTGGAGCATAACACTCGCTTGAGAGGAACAGGGGTGGTTCCAGAAGAGACGAAGTGCCCAAACCCCCCACATGGGCCCCTGTCGGTGGACAGTCAGACCCCTTGCCTTGCCACTCGGGGCCTGGTTTGATTGCTCCTGCGACACCTTGCCCATAGAGATTTTCAGCCACTCTTCCAGCTCCATCCTGCCTTTTCCTTTTTTTTTTTCTTGAGTCTTATCATTTGATTATTAAGTCTTCAGTTTTCTGAGGTGCTGTCCCTTTGAGCCTGCTGCTTCCCGTGAATTGAAAGGTTTGCACCACTCTGAGCTGTCAGCTAGCTCAACAGTCTGCTAGCAACTGGCTTTATCGTTAAAAATTCAGTCCCTGGAATACTCAGCCATTTAAAGAAGGCCTGAAGAGGAAAACTGCAGTATACTTCACTCTTGCGAAAAGCATAGTAAGCCCCGAGACTTTCAGTTGTGGTGTACCATGTATCCTTAGGGCCGGGCATGTGCCTCTGAATGAATGCGTGGTGCATGGGAAGGAATGAGGGCTGTGCTCCAGAACCTGCAGAGGGAATTCTGCTCTGCCGAATTGCTCCCAACTGAAGGTGTTCAGGGTGGTCACCTGCCTCCAGCACCCACGTTGGATCTGTATGGATAGATTTTTTTTAAATAAAAAAAAGGGTTCATAAGGGTTATCTCAAAAGGGTTCCCCTTGAGCCCAATTAATTTTTTTTAATTGAAAGTGTCAGCATATAAATTAATTGGCCTCTACCAGCTTTCGCATTCTCAGGAGTGGCGTGATAGGTAAAAATACTGCTATGCAAGTTCCTTATTCATCAGTGAGATTTAGTAAATAACTGGGTGATATTATAAAAAATAGCATCAATGTTACTGTGTTTCTTGTGGTAGTGTTTCATGTCTACGTTCAAGATTTTAGTGTGCCAAATATACAGAAAATCTGAATGTATTGCAGCATCACTTTGAGTCTTTGGCTAAGCTGTGGTTAGATTCAGCTGTAAATTATAGGCATCTGAGGAGAGCTTCCTAGGGAAGGCTTCTTGCCACAACCGTGCTCTTCCTAGGTGTCTTTTGCTGGCCACTGTCAGGGCATGTGACTAGATAAAACTGTGTTTGACCTGGTATGGCCATCTTTGCCATTTTCCCCAGGTAATTATAATACCATAAATTTTTAAGATTAGTAAAAAGATGCATACTAATCAAAATCAGAAGTTTTTGTTGATGACAAATGTGTATACAACATCATGGGTCTGTTTTGATGCACAGTTTCTGGTATCCTTCCTTTGCCTTTTCTGCAGGTTTCAATGGATGGCTCTGTGCTGAGGAGATTTTGCTCTCTCCAGTTGCATCAAAGTGGGCTTTGATCCTGGGGGTCCATTTTAAAGATTATTCTTAGTTATTGCTAAATTACTGTGTTGATCAATGAAATCATTAGATGCTGCTCAACTTGCTCTTTATTAACTGGCCAAAAATTGCATTGAGAACATATTAATTACTGCCCAAATGCTTGGAAAGTCTTAAGGTGATCTTGGAACTTTGTGTGGCTTGTAATTTTGGATAGCTCATCACCTTGGGAAGAGTGTTCAGTTGTACTGGCCTCTGGTGTAGAAGTTTTTCTATGCATGTATGAAAAAGCAGACTTAATGATTTGTTTATTTTTCTTTCACAGCTGAAAGCTGACGTGGTTCCAAAGACAGCAGGTAAGGCAGCATCTTGGGAATTTCATACTTGAAATATTTAAGGTTTAGATTGTTCTAAACATTCTGTTACCTTTTGGAAACTTTTTCCATGTTCCATCCCCATTTGTTAAACAGATAAAAATGATATGAACTTTGTCAGAACAGCGCTGGTGAGGAGCTATAATTTGTTGTTGTTCCAAGTAGTTTAATTTTGTAGTGCGCACCAAGACAGTACAGTACATTTGTTGAGTTATCAGTGGTGAAAAAATAAAATATGTTTAAAAACATACTAATTTCCATTAAAATCAAACCCCAACGCAAATGGGAAAGGGTAAACCAAAGGGTTAGCATCTCTTAGAGTTTCTGAAGAGCATGCAAGGTTTGATTTCCTTTGTGACTGGCTGATCAGCGTACTCATGTTACGAAGTTTTTGTGTTTTATCGTGGGCTTCTTTCCTCGTCTGCTTGCTTCATGATTCTGAGAAACTTGTACTTATCTGTCAGTTACCAGTAGATTGATATCCTTTTAAAAAAAGCATCATCTTCACAATTACTATAGAGAAGAAAAGCATAAAAGTCAGAAAATGTCATCTTTGGCTCCAGAATGGCGGGTCTGGGGAGGTGAGGGGGTGGAGTTGAGATATAACAGCAAAATAAAAGGAAGATGAGATGGCAGAGGGTTGTGTCCTGAGGCTGGGCAAGCTTTGCTTCCTTGGCTTTATAGCAGAGGTTTTTTTTAAAGGATGGAAACAGCTAATAATAATAATACCTTAAAGATACTGTAGAACTTTCAAGGTATATACACTCGGGACATAGTTAATCTAGTTGTACTTGGTTATATTATGTTTCGTGTATAGCCGCGTAATATTTTATGCTTTGTTCTCACAGAAAACTTCAGAGCTCTCTGTACTGGTGAAAAAGGATTTGGGTATAAAGGATCCACTTTTCACAGAGTGATTCCTTCATTTATGTGCCAGGTAATGTTTTGGGGTTTTTTTGTTTGTTTTTTTAATCTTTTTTTTTTTTGAAATGTCACTATTAAATTTATCTGTATGTTATTTATATATTTTTAGAACCAGTTAGACTAGTAGTAACACTTTAAATGTCTCTGACCTTTGCTAGCCATGAAATAAAGAAGTGAAAGGATGACTTGCATTTCTGATCTTTTTGCTGTGCCTGTTGCTTAGCATGTATTTTCTACAAGTAAATGTAAATTACGTGTAGACTGTCTTTAAAAACCTGGCTTAAGGCTTTCTGCTTTTATATAGCAGTGTACTTCAGTGCGGGGCACATTTCGCAAAATGCCACTTGCTTGGGAGAAGCGTTTGTGGGTAGAATGGCAATCAACCGTGTGTTCTAAGTGAGCAAGGCAAACGTGTCCATTCTTTATTCTTAGTGGAATAACCTGTTTGCAATAGAAAATATGTTTGGTTTTTTTTCCCTTAGCATCTCCCTAATATTAGGAGAGGAGGGAACCAAAAGGGTTGGTTGGGGTAGATTTTTGGGATGACACGCCTGAAATAGATACACTCTTTAAATCAAAACAAAATCTTTCAAAATCCTGAATTAAAGTCCATGCATGGTAGCAATTTTTTCTTAAACAGCAACAACAACAACAAAAAACAAACAGAAAAAGCCTTTTTTTCTGTTGTGCTTGGCAGAAGAGCAGGATTTCAGCTGTTGTAGTCCACTGGATTGTATGATTCCTGGTGATCCTCTCTTCCCTTAAAAGAAGCTGTGTTTCAACAACACTGCATCATAAAATGGCTCTGTAAAAAAAAAAAATCTATATAACCTTCATCTTTATTTATTAACTTATGACTCTGGTGGTCCCTCCTCCTTGTTTTCTTATCTTTAAGCTAAAAATACAGTGGTTAGAACAAGAGAGCTTAATCTTATGACCTGTTTCTAAGAAGAAAAAGGGGAAGTGTGCTTTAAGGGCCTATTTTCTTGCTTTTGAAATGCAAACTAAGGTTTTGTGATACTGACAAAGTTTAAAAGTCTTGCTGGGATCAGAAACACATAAATATAAGAAAAATAGACATCCTACTCTCAGTTCTGCCACTGATTTGTGTAGTTCCATGTAAGTCTGTTCTCCTTGTGTCCCTGTTTTGTCACCACAAATGGACCCCAAATGAGGATACTAGGTGTCTGACACTGTGGTACGGTGAGGTGATGAATGGATGTTTAGGGATTACTTGGAAGCCATTACTGAAGTGGAAATACTGTCACAGGGTTCAAATATTTTAAAGTGAGAGGAAGCAGTAGAGGCCTTTCCACTTGTTAAGATGTAGTGTTAATATGACTCAGGCAATTGGTATAGCCTAATTGAAGGTCGTCATACCCAGGGCTTGGCAACTCGGATGCCTCCACACGGCACTCAGCATGCAGAGCATACTTCTGGGACTGTGGAGGGGTAGCTGTAACACCACCTGTAGTAGATGACTCAAGGTGAGACTGGGAAGATGCCCATCACATGAAATACTTGTTAGGTGTGAGTTCTTTGCCTGTGTGGGTGGTGTTGCCTCTAGGAGAGGAGATGGCAGGTTGCTGGAAGCAATGTTTAGTGTACAGCCTTTGTGGTGGCTGTAGTCACTGTGGCTGGGGTTCTGTGTCTCTAACCTAAGACAGGTGGTCACATCAGCAAGCAGCATGGACCTGTGGGAAGTTTGAAATAGCTCAAGTGTAACACTTAAACAACAAAACCTAGACATAGCAAATAGTGATAATAGAGATCCTGACCAATGTTTGTACCTGCTGGGAGAAAGAAAGAAAAGGCGGGGGGGAGTTCTCAGGTCTTGCCTATGGTAATAAATGTGGATGATTTTTTTTTTGAGGCCTTTGAGGTGTTGGTTATAATTATTGCCATTTGTTTGATCACATCTGGGAGCAAGGCTGGTAACACAGAAAGGTGGTTGTTGGAGCTACAGATGTCAGTTGAAGAATATCAGCAATACCTGAACCAGAAGTTTACTTTTAGCTTGATTGTGTCTTCATCTAGTTACGTGGTTTTAAATCCTCATAGTCATTCTTAACATCAAGAATTTTTTTTTAATTTTATTGCTTTTAAATTAGAGTGACTATATTTTCATTAGCATCACTTCTGATGTAAAATAATGCTTGTGTGCAAGTAAAGTTAATACCCATTTCTGTTTCAGGGTGGTGACTTTACAAATCATAATGGAACGGGTGGAAAATCCATCTATGGCAGTCGATTTCCAGATGAAAATTTCATACTTAAGCACGTAGGACCTGGTAAATAAGGTTTTTCAGATGTGTGGGGCACTTGGTAGTTACAGAAATACCAAAGAAGTTTAACAGTGCATTGTCCCTAGCATGTGCTTATTTGTGTAGAGTGCTGTACAAATATAAGTCATCCTGTAACAGGTGACACTGCCACTCCTACTATAAAAGGGACTGTGCAAAATAAAGCATGATTTTTTTGTATTTAACTTAAAAATTCTGCCAAGGTGTAATTACTGCTTTTATTTTCCTCTTTTGTAAGTCACAGGCTTCAATTTTTACTTAGATGGTTACTGCAGAAGTGAAACAAAGCGATCTGGGATTTTTTTATTTACTAGGTAACACAGGCATGTCCTTTAAAGCTCAAATTAAATCCAGAAACAAAAAAAAAGTAAAGGAAAAGCCATACATGAGAACATCTGATTGAAATCTATAGTCTCTCTTTTTCAGATTGTTACTTCCTCATCACAGGAAACCACTGCTGCTCTTGAACCACAGTGGCAGTTACCTGATATTAATCATGTTCAGGACATGTACAACTAATTACAGTACTGACATTCTTGTTGTGGAAAGAAGGGAAGCTGGGCTGGTGGGAATAGTCAAAGACAAGAAGCTGGTATTAGAAGTAATTTGGAGACAATGTGAGACCATCACATCTTCTGTCTGTCCATCTTTAGTCTAAATGTGTGAAGGAACGCTGTCTTCTCCACTGCATACTTGTTGCACCAGTCTAATCAGCTGCTCTTCTTCCAGGTGTTCTTTCAATGGCCAACGCAGGACCCAATACAAATGGATCGCAGTTCTTCATTTGCACTGCAAAAACTGACTGGTAGGTTCTCAGCCCTGTATATTCACCTGGGGCTTGAGTCGATGCCTGAATCCAGAGGGTTTTGGGTTTTCTTAGTTGTTTCGGTTTTGTTTGAGTTAATGTTTGCTTGTTTGTTTGGGGATTTTTGTTTATTTTTTATTGTTATTCCAAATTACTTGTCTCACAATGGAAAATAAATTGTTTTGGGCTACTTGAGGGAGGAAGGGCTGAGAGGGTAACAGGACTGCTGTCCCTCAGAATGCTTCTAAGGTCCCAAGCTAAAAGTATTTTGTATCACTTGTAGAACAGTTGTGCCTTTCCCATAGAGATGATCAGCAGCTGAGAGCTATGAAGGATCTGCTAGCATCCCTTCACTGAGCTTGGTTTGGTTCAGTATTTGTTGTTTTAAGTAAAACTGCCTTTGCTTATTTGTTTTACAGGCTAGACGGAAAACACGTCGTTTTTGGGCATGTAAAGGAAGGAATGGATGTTGTGAAAAAAATTGAGAGCTACGGTTCCAAGAGTGGAAAGACCTCCAAAAAGATTGTCATTACTGACTGTGGCCAGCTGTCCTAGCCTTTAGCCCTACCACTCAGTACAACTTTGATGCTGTGAAAAATGAGTCATTAAAAACCCCAGACATTTCTGATCCCATGAATACTGAATATATGAATACTGTGGAACCGTATTTTCTATTGAACTTGGTACAGCTTTTATACTTATGTTGAATAATATTGATTAAAAAATATAAAGCAATAACTGAAATGTTTTAACTGAGCTACCTTGGTAGTCACGCTGTCACACTGATTTGGTAGAGTCCCATTGCATTTTGGAAGTAGTCGGGTCACCCAGAGCATGTACGACTGCAGTGTTGATGCTGTTCTTAGTGTTTGGATGATTCAGGTGTTAGAATTGGTGGTGGAGTTGACAGCTAAGAGAAATACCATGTTTCCTTTGGTGCTAATAAATGCCTATTCTGTTGCTTATCTCATAATTTGAAAAAATGATGGTAACTAGTGCTCTCAAGGCGGTCTGCAACAAGACTGTCAGACATTTTCTCTCTGTATCTCAATTTAAGTCTATCCAATAGAATTGATATGGGTTTAAAAAAATCAGTTGTTTAAATAATTTTTTATAGTCTGAGATCACTGTTTAAAACTGAACTTTACCTTACCAATGGAGCAATTTGACTTTCGGGTTAAGTAAATTGCTTTAGGTTTATTTAGCCTACTACTAGAGCTCTACCTGGGCAGTAAGACCACAAATTAGCCAAAAGATCATGGGACTTTTTTATTATGCAACTGTGAACTTACTTGAAGTGCAGATCTGCTGTGAGATCTGGTTCTGTGAGGAATACAGCACAGTTCTCAATAAACAGCCTGTTTTTGCACTTTAATAATATGAGTATAGCGAGCTCGCTTGAGAGAAATAGCTATCATTCTTGTCCTGTTGGTCCTGCGAAGTCAGCCCACCTTGCGTATTACTTGGATTATGATTTCTTCTCGCACATCATCGGCAGAAGTCAAAATCAATCACCACATAATCACAAGGCCTGATTGGTGCAGTGAAGTAATTATTCTTGGGTTGATGCACAAGGAGGAAAGAGTTCAGCTGATCAGATGAACACATTTCATTTGTATAAATGGGTATGTTTCATGTGGAGTACTTGAGCAGTAACAAATGTTGGAACCTCACATCATCGCTTTTATAATCACTAATGCTGTAAAGTATTAATGCTTGTGGGAAAAATACTTGACTCTTTTTGTGCAATAATCTTGCTACTGAAGGGAAAATAAAATGTGATGGCTCTCTCAAAATGTGAATTTACTTCCAGTGCATTTGGATAATATGTGGGTTTAAAACTATTTTGCACTGGATTCTTTTTTCCAAGGAGGGCTGCATTCTTGTGTGTAAGAGGTAGTAGTCATAGTGCGATTTTGCAGAAAATGAAATTGAAAAGCTTTTTATTCTTTCCACCGTAGCCGTTTAATCTTTCTTTGAAATATTAATTCAGTTGAAATACTTCAGTTTGATAGAATGATTTTTTTTGTATGTGTTCTTTTAATTTGTATATGAAAAATAATTAAATACAGTTCTACCACAAAAGAAGTCTGTTCCTTTCTTAAATGTGTCCTTGCACACTTGAACGTTGGGGTGTGAGGAGCTGAACCTGTTGTGTTTACTTGGCCTGTTCTGTTGTGTTCACTTTGCGATGGGTCTCACTTAGTGGTGTCTAGAAACCGTGCTTTGCCTCTCACTAGTAAATCTAAGATATTTGGTATGTGGATAGCGGT